CTCCCTCTCCCTCTCCCTCTCTCTCTCTCTCATTGAGTAAATACTTCTTACTTTGGTTCCTATAACCTGTTCTAAGTTATAGATGGTATATTACTTTAGTTTCCTCTGATTTTTCCCTTTAAGTTTCTCTTCAGTTCTGTTAATTATTTTCTCTTGATGCCTTCCTTATCAGAAGAACATTTTTCTTCAATGACTTGTAACTGCATCTTGATGTGTATAGTTGGGCCTCATTTAGCTATCATCAGTGTGGCTGTTGGTTGTTTTGATCCTCACCTTCTGTCCCTGTGTTTATATTTCTGCCTGCCTTGGCACTCCCGTTAATCTTCCTTTGTTTTGTTGTACCTAGGATGCCTGCCCTTCACTTTAATTGTCAGCCAATTGCTAATTTAGTCAGATTGTCACAGCTGAATTGTGTTATTCCCGTTTAATCTTCACAAGAGTTTGATTTCTGTAACTATTGTGGTTTTAGCATGTACTGAGTACATCTATAGTAGCCTTCCATTATAGTAGCCTTGTATTTTTGTGGCATGATTCAGTAAACACTTGTCATTTTTCTAATAAGGTCAGGTACATCTACCTTCATAAGAACTGCAAGTCACATTCCTGTTATAGAAAAGTGTTTTCTGAGGTTAAATGATCTAAACAGAACTTAGTATGTAAAGCATATAACTTTCTAAGAACAAAAATAAACTCAGACCTGTTGGGGTGAATGTCTTCATGGTGAAAGTCTCACTATTGAAGGACTTAATTGTTTAAACATTAAACTGAAAATAAAGTAGTTTGATTGTTCATAGTATCAGTTGTGTGTCCTTTCTCCTCTTCTGGGAGTCATCCCAGAGCCTCTGCCTGTTAGATAAGCACTCAGGTACTGAGCTTGATAGCTCCCATTTGGTCTGTGAACCTAAATTCAAAAGGAAAACAAATGATCAAATTTCTTAGCAAAATTTATCTGAAAAACATAATACTTAAGTCTGTGGTGTCCGTTTGTTTTTCAGTCTAAATTGAACGGATAAAAAATTTTTTCTTGTCTATTTTTAACTTAGTTGAAAATATTCTTCTAAAAGATCTACAGTTTCCTAAAAAGCCTCATTGTCGTGTTTATCATACAACAGTAGTGACACATTGCTAACATTCTTTGAGTATAGACTGTGGGGTTGGTATACTAACATGCATAGCTCACAATCATCCATATTTTATGTGTGCTATATTCTTGAGATGCTAAAGATAAAACTAGGGGCTGGCATATAAAAAGTATGAAAAGACCATTTGTGTAC